ATGTCAGAACTAGGTATGAGAGAAACGAGGGATCTTACCTTTCCGAGATGTATCTTTCCTGATGTTCTGTAGTTTCTTTTTGTATTTGCGACGCGATCGGCGATTGATTTGAACTCGATGCCTGGAATATCAGATGTAAAAACAAAAATAAAAAACATCAGAGGTACTCACTTTTCATAGTATTTTTTGGAAGTAGCACGGCGCGCGGCAGCCTTCTCTTCAGACGTGTGGTAGAGAGTAGGACAAGGCATGGTATTCAGCTCGTGTTGACCGTAGCGCAAGATTGAATAACTGGCCTTACCCTATTAGGCGCACGTGGTTTGTCCAATTTCTTACGACTTTTTGTTTCTGTCTCCAATGGTTGAACAGTATGCACTAAAGTAAATACATGGTTGGAAAGTAGAATCAAGCACCGTTCTAAATATGTAAAAAAATTCAAATATGGTTGAGTGAGCCCGTGGCAGGAGCCAAAGTCGCGGAGTTGACGCCGAACTCTAAGAGGAATCTTGGACAAAGGCTTGAGTTTCATCTGACTTTTACTCGAACCAATTGTACAAATAAAATTTTAATATTATAAAGTGTGTTGTAGTAGTGCAAGTGTATATTCAAAATATCTAAAGGTAGAGAGGGATATTGAAGCCTCAGCGCTATGTTTAAGATATGTTTCGATGCTTGGAGATTGACCTCCCCCGAATTCCCGCGATTGATTACTATATCGATTAAGCCTGCAACCCTTTTTATTATTGAGTATATCGTAGCTGTGCGAGGGTCCGACTGAAATATCTAAGGGTAAGACGGGTATTGGTGCCTCACTGTAATGTTTGACAAATGTTTCGAAGTTTGGAGATGATCCATATGTGGATTGGGGTGGCTGCCACTACTAAATATCTGAACTTGTGTGTGCATTCGCATTCGAGTCTTTCAGTTGTTCTCCTAGAGTTATTGCCAATGCTTTTTATTTTTATACGGCGAANACATATACACGATATTGACTGTGCTACTAAGTGAGGTACA